ATTGTCGGAAAAACCCATCTGGTTCACATATGTCCTTTAGGGAAGGAAACTGCCATCCTTACCTGGTCTGGCCTATATGTGACTCCAGACCCACAGCAATGTGGTTGACTCATAACTGCCCTCTGGGCAATTAGGGATGGGCAATAAATGCTGTCTAGCCAGCGACACTCTCATCCCGTGAATGAATAAAAGGAAAAAAAAAGCTTTTCTGGCAACTCAGAGATAGCAAGAATTGCAGATGCTGGAGTCAGAGACAACATTGTGTGGAGCTGGAGGAACACAGCATGCCAGAAATGAAGAAGGGCCCCGACCTGAAATGTTGCCTGGCCAGCTGTGTTCTTCCAGCTCCATACTGTGTTTTCTAGCAACTTCTGTTTTTGTTTCTAATTAATAATAATGTAAAAGAATCTTTAGGGATGAATGACCACAATTTAATGGAATTTTACCTTTTGTTTGAAAGTGAAATATTTCACTCTGAAGCAAGGGTATTAAATTTGAATAAGGGAAAAATATGAAAGCCTGAGGCACAAGGTGACTGAACTGATTTGGGAAAATATATTAAAAGGCATAACAATACAGACAGTCTTTCAATCATCTTTAAATAACTATTACATGATTACATACTTCCTTCAAGGTGTTAAAATGCAAACAAGGTCAATCAATTGTAGCTGACAAAGGAAATTAAGGATTGTATAGGATTAAGAGAAGGCTTAAAAATATATGAAGAACATAAGTAAAAGGTACAAGAATAGGTTACTCAGCCCTTTGGATCTGCTCTGTTATTCAATGAGATAATTGCTGATCTGATTTCAACCTCAACTCTACATTCCTGCATATACCAAGTTATCTTTCATGGTAATCAAACATCTATCTATCTCTGCCTTAAAATATTTAACTATTCCTTATCCACTGCCTTTTGATGAAGAAAACTTCAAAAACTCATAGCCCTCTGAGAGAAAAATGTTTCCTCATCTTTGTTTTAAGTGGGTGCCCCCTTATTTTTAAACTATGACCCCTATTTCTAGATTCTCCCACAAGAGTAAACTGCCTTTAGCAACATCTGGTTACGTGCCTTCAAGATCTTACATTTCAATTTAGTCAGCTCTTAGTCCTCTAGACTCTAGAGGTTAAAAGCCTGTCTAGCCTTTTCCACTCATTCAAATGTTATACCAGAGCACTCCAGATAGGGTCTCACAATTCCTGTACAATTGAAGCATAATCTCCCTACTCTTGCATTCAATTCCTTTTGCAATAAACTAGACCAATCCATTAGCTTCGAGATAGTAAGAACTGCCAATGCTGGAGTCAGCGATAACACAGTGTGGAGCTGGAGGAGCACAGCAGGCCAAGCAGCATCAGAGGAGCAGGAAAGTTGACGTTTCAGGTCGGGACCCTTCTTCAGAAATGGGCTGGCATGGTGGCTCAGTGGTTAGCACTGCTGCCTCGCAGTGCCAGGGACTCGGGTTCGATTCCGCCCTTGGGCGACTGTCTGTGTAGAGTTTGCACTTTCTCCCCGTGTCTGTGTGAGTTTCCTCTGGGTGCTGTAGTTTTCTCCCACAGTCCAAAGATGTGCAGGCTAGGTGGATTGGCCATGCTAAATTGCCTATACTGTTCAGGGCTGTGTAGATTAGGTAGACTATAGGCTAATGGGTCTGGGTGGGATGCTCTGAGGGTCGGTGTAGACTTGTTGGGCCGAGGGGCCTGTTTCCACACTGTAGGGATTCTATGAAACAGGGACGTGAAAAGGAAAGAACTCTAATGAAGAGTCATCTAGACTCAAAATGTTAGCTTGCTCTCTGTCCACGATGCTGCCTGACTGTCTATGATTTCCAGCATCTTTTGCTTTCAGCATGTAAAAAGGAAACATTTCACTACGACAAATGTGGGTCCATTAAAAGCAGAGCCAAAAGAATTTATTATGGGCAATAGAGAAATGGCAGAGAAGCTAAATTATAACTTTGTGTTTGTTTTTACAAAGAAAGATACAAGATATCTCCCAGAATTAGAGAGCCAGATGACTCGGGAGAATATGGAGTTGAAAGACATTAACATTATTACGGAGGCTGTATTGGAGAAATTAATGAGGATGAAAGTTAAAAGGTTTCTGGGACTTGATCTTCAACATTCTGGGATGTAGACTGAGATAGCTACAGTGATAGTCAGTGCATTGGTAACCATCTTCTAAAATTTCATACATTCAGAATGACTCCTGCAGATTGGAAGGAAAGGAAAAAAGCAGAAAATACAACCCTGTCAGCCTTGTATCAGTGGTAGGGAAAATGCAAGAATTATTCATAAAAGACATGATAAATGGACAGTTATATAAGAATGATGTGATTTGGCTTAGTCAAGTGGATTTGCGAATTGAAAATTCCGTTTGACAAACTTGTTGGAGTTTTTCGAGGATGTTAAAACAAAATTGATAAAAGGGAATTGATAGATGCAGCATAATTGGAGTTTCTAAGGGTTTTTGATCATGTCCCAAAAGGAGGTTGGTTAGCACAATAAAAGCACATGGCATAGGAGATAATATACTGCCATGTATTAAAGGTAAAGTCGCCATAGTCCTACCGGACCATAGGCTGCTCTTTCATTTGAGAGTGGTGCAGCTGGTGGAGGTTTAACCTGAGGGCCATCATGCCACAGGCAAGGGGACAGGATGAGAAGGGAAGTCCTTCACGATTACCTCAGCCGGTGTGGAAATTGAACCCATTCTGTTGATGTCACTCTGCATCATAAACCAGCTGTTCAGCCAAATAAGCTAACCCATCCCCAATGGCACGCATTATGGATTGGCTAACAGAAAAGAGAGAACAGGAATAAGTGAGTCGTTCTCACATTGGTAGGCTATGACTAGTGGTTTACTGCAAGAATCAATACCTAGGCCCCAGCTGTTCATTTTATACATGAATAATTGTAACATAGGGACCAAATGTAATTTTTCCAAATTTGTAAATGATATAAAGCTAGGTAGGAATATGTATTGTGATGAAGATGTAAAATGATTTCGGGAGGATTTGGACAGGCTTAGTGAATGGACAAGAACATGGCAAATGGAACATAATGTGGAAACATCTGAGGTTGGTAGGAAGAACAGATGTGTAGAGCATTTCTTAAATGGTGAGAGGCTGGAAAGTGTTGATGCGCAAAAGGACTTTGGTGCTATTGTCAGTAACTCACTGAAGGCTAACATGCAGGTGCAGCAAGCTATTGGGAAGGCTAATGGAATGTTATCCTTTATCGCAAGAGAATTTGAGTACAGGAGTAGTGAAGTCTTTCTTCCATTGTATACAAGCTTGGCCTGACCACACCTGGAGTATTGTGTGTAGTTTTGGTCTTTTCTCAGGAAAAGTAATATTGCCACAGTGAAAGTTCACCAGACTGTTCCCAGATGGCAGGACTGTACTATGAAGAGAGTTTCAAAGAATTAGAGGTGATTTCATTGAAAGTGCAAAATACTTGGAGGAATAGACAGGGTTGATATGGATAAGATGGTTCCCCTAATTGGGGAATCTAGAACCAGGAAAGATTGCACCTTGACTTCAAACATAATTCACGGGCTACTGCAAGGATCAATATTATGTCAGTAGCTGCCCAATCTAAATGAATGATTTGGCTATAGACTTATAAGATTTCCAAATTTGCTACTAGGTCAAAACTGGCTGAGAATGTAATTTGTGAGGAGGATGCAAGGAATATTCAAGAGGATTTGGATAGAGCAAGTGAGGGGCATTGAACATGATAGATGAAATAAACTGTCAATAAGCTTGAAGTTATTCAATTTGGTAGAAAAAACAGAAAGGCAGAATATTTCTTAAATGGTGAGAGGCTGGGAACATGTGTCCAAACCCTTGTATCCTTGTTCATGAGTCAGTAAAAGCTACCGTGTATATGCTGCAAGCAATTTTCCTGAGAGTCCATGTTTACCCTTTAGAAGGAGGTCAAAAATTGGGATTCGTCATCAAACTCCACAGCTTGCATGGACATTACTTTATCAAAAGATGATGAAAAATCAATGGTACGTTGGTCTTAATTACAAGGGGATTGGTGTATCGAAGTAAAGATGTCTTCATGAAATTATGTGGAGCCTTGATGATACCACACCTTGGAGTATTGTGTACAGATTTGTTCTCCTTATACAAGAAATGATATACTTATCTTAGAGGGAATGCAATAGAAGTTCACCAGATTAATTTTGAGGGTGGTAGGATAGCTTTGAGAGTTTGGGGAAATCGGGTTTTTGTACCCTAGAATTTCGAAGAATGTGAGATAATCCTATTGAAACTCACATAATTCGTATAACACATGACTGGGTGGATGTAAATAAGACATATTCTATGGTTGGTGAGCATAAAACCAGGAGACATAATCTCTGTTAAGAATTAGGCGATTTAAGTCTGAGATGAGGAGAAATCTGATAGGTGTGCTTGTGTGTGTGTCTTTTTGTATACGATGTGGGGATGTGGTGGTGGTAGTGGTGGTAAGGGGGAGAGGAGAATGATTCCTTATGAATTCTCTACTCTAAGACTGTGGAAGTTCAAATCACTGAGTACGCTCAAGACAAAGTCAATAGATGTCTGTAAGTTAATGACATTAAGGAATATGGAATTTATGCGGAAAAAGGGCTTTGAGGTAAATAATCATACATGACTTAATTGAATGGTGGAGCAGGCTGTACAGGCTGAATGCCTAATCCTGATGCTATATTTCTATGTTTAAGGAACAAGGGACACAATGTATTATGCAACATGAATAAAATGTCAATTTATGTGCAATGCGTTGAGAATATATCAATTAGCAGTAAGCATAGAAATCTGCATCTGTTTGGTGACCCAAAAGTGGGGAGAGACATGTTGTCAACTCTAGTGTAACTCTACAGCATAGAACAACTATGACATTAAGAGACTGCCACTCACTAATCTTGGGAGACCAGAGATTGTCAGTAACTGTGTGTGTTACCATGTGTACAATAAAAATCCTTTCTATTACTTTGCTGATAGGCCCTCATCTCCCAAGATGACTCAACAGATGCGGGATCTCCAACTGATTCACGGGAAGAAGCTAGTCTCTCCATCCTCTCCTAATGCAGCAAAGAGGTTATACCGAAATCTATCAGGAAAGTTCAAAGTTAATTATACTTCATTTGATGAAACAAACTTGATAGGACGAAATGAAAAGAACAAGCAACGGAAGTCTTGTGTGGTAAGGAAGTTTAAAGATTCTAATTGATGGCGATTGGATGTGTAGTGGATGGAAATGACAGAGACCTGCTGATGCACTGAGTTGCAACATGATAGCTTATTCACATCAATGCATCTGGGTTAGAATTGTCAAACTTTACATTGGTTTAAATGTTAAATGGTTCCAAAAGTCAAAGAAGATTAACAAGTGATTCACAATACATATTCTGTATGTTTTATGCTATTGTGCTGTTTGCTGTAGGCAGAATCTTCTAAACCCACCAGAGCATTTCCAAAAGCTGGAGAGAACCTTAGCTGGGCAGTAGACTAATGTCAGGTTAAATTTGTTGTATTAAGTTCTCAGTATCTTTCAGGTGGCTTGACCTTCCTGATCATGATCATCAGGAATTTCTTTAGCATTCATTAGCATTCCATGAATACTCATTAACACCCTGATCTGCTGAAAATGTATTCACGAGTGCAAATTTGTTTGGCAAGAAAAATGAGTGTTTACAAACCCAACAGTAAAATGAGGCTTCTGCCTGGTGATGCAGAATTCTTCCTAGCAGCTCTGGTAAGTACGCACTAATTCAGCAGCATGGGTCCTTTGTAAACAAGTCATTTGCTTAAACATTTTAAGTTAAAGGATGCAAACTGCCCAGTCAATGCAACTCTTGAGGGATATCAGTCATAACTGATTTGTCATCTGTTGATATTTGCAGACTGTGTGGCCCATCCAGGCTGACCGAAACAAGGGAGCTGCAATGACTGATGATAGCAAACTTAATGGGGCAGGTATGAGGGCTCAAAACAAAAGAGGCACAATGCAAAAGAGGCTCAACAAAAAAGGGGATCAACAGAAACATTAGAGATAAAGATAGGAAGATATGTCAAGCAGTCAAACTTAAAGAATGTGGTTGTTAAGGACGCCAGAAGAATACTGAGGAATAGGGGTAGACAGCTGGGAGGCATGGGGGAGCAAAAAAGGCTGGGAGCTGCATATTGAGAGTAGGGACTTCCCTGGGGTAATGAATGAACTGTGCAGTGAGGGTGAAAGAGTAGCTGAATTGAATAAGATGTAGTGCATGGCTAAGGGCTGTGGTGGGCAGCAGGATGAGGTGGGCTCGGGAGGAAGATCAAGTGGAATTCTGAGTGGGGGCACAGTTATTGGGGGAGACTAAAACATGACAGAGGGACACTAGAAAAAAGGAATCAATCCTCTACAGTGATGGGGGGAAGAGTATAGGTTAGTTGGGGAGGATTGCAGCTGATTGAATTGATATAAAAAATTAACGCACACTTTTATTATGTGTTTGGCCAGCCACACCCAGTAGCTGTATTGACTCAGATACATCTACAAAGTAGGAGTAGGAGAAGTTGAAGGAATGCCCAACACCAACAGCACTACACACTAATGCTTAGGGCGATCCAGCCGTGTAGCCTGTACTCATTAAGCAGCGCCTGAACAGAGGAACCATGGCCTTCGCAGTGTACTGTGAGATGGGTCAGCACCAATGCCAAACATCTTTGCATGACATGGTATGCTGTCACCTACATCTACACCTTCAGTAGGAAATTCTGCAACTGCTTGGCTTGGGAAGAAGCATTGTTCCTGTGGCATTGAAGATCAAAGTGGCTTTGAACTTTCTTGCCATCTGCTCCTTTCAGATCTCAACCAGCAACTTGTGCGGCATCTCCCAAATCCACAAGTACATTCATGAGGTCACAGGTACCTTTCTCAGGAAAGCACATGCGTTGTACAAATCACCGTGGCTCAAGTGAGCCAAGCCACCTGAACCATTGGATTTGCCTCCATCACTGGGTTCCCTCAGGCACAAGAAGCTATTGAATTACGTGTGGCACTCAAAAGCTCTGTGGAATCATCCAACCGTTTTCCTGAACCAGAAGGTTTTTTTTACTCCTCAGTTTATAGCTTTCATGTGTGATCACAGGTGCCAAGTCCTGCAGGTGTGCACCTGCTATCCAAGGAGCTATCACGGCGTTTGCATTCCACACAGCTCCCAAGTTTCACAAATGTTCATCTCCAGGCATGGCTCATAGGTGACAGGGAGTGCCCTCAGAAGGCATGGCTAATGACCCCAGTACAGAACACCCAAATTGGATACCTGCATGGGCCCAAGCTATGCCTGCCTCTTTGTAGGTCACGTGGAACAATCCCTCTTCCGTAGCTACACTGGCCCTAAACCCCACCTCTTCTTCCGTTACATTGATGACTGTATCTGCGCCGCCTCGTGTTCCCATGAGGAGCTTGAACAGTTCATCCACTTCACCAACACCTTCCACCCCAACCTTAAGTTCACCTGGACCATCTCTGATACCTCTCTTTCCTACCTGGACCTCTCTGTTTCCATCTCTGGCAACTACCTGGAAACCGATATCCATTTCAAGCCTACCGACTCCCACAGCTACCTAGAATACACCTCTTCCCACCCACCTTCCTGCAAAAATGCCATTCCCTATTCCCAATTGCTTCTCCTCCGCCGCATCTGCTCCCAGATGAGGCATTCCACTCCCGAACATCTCAGATGTCCTCGTTTTTCAAGGACCGCAACATCCCCCCCTCAGTGGTCGAGAACGCCCTCGACCGTGTCTCCCGCATTTCCCACAACTCATCCCTCACAGCCCCTCCCCACAATAACAGCCAAAACAGAATCCCCCTCGTCCTCACATACCACCCCACCAACCTCCGGATCCAATGCGTCATCCGCCGACACTTCTGACATCTGCAATCTGACCCCACCACCTAAGACATTTTTCCTTCCCCACCTTTATCTGCTTTCCGAAGGGACCACTCTCTCTGTGACTCCCTTGGTCGCTCCACACTCCCCTCCAGCCCCACCACACCCGGCACTTTTCCCTGCAACCGCAGGAAGTGCTACACCTGCCCCTACACCTCCCCCCTGACCCCCATCCCAGGCCCAAAGAAGACCTTCCACATCAAGCAGATGTTCACCTGCACATCTGCTAATGTGGTATACTGTATCCGCTGTTCCAGATGTGGCTTCCTCTACATCGGGGAAATCAAGCAGAGGCTTGGGGACCCCTTTGCGGAACACCTACGCTCGGTTCGCAACAAACAACGGCACCTCCCAGTCGCGAACCAT